GATGTTCCAAGAAGATTGAAGGGCATAATGTGTGAAAGTTAACATGATGTTATGAGGCTTCAGAAAAGAAAAATGAAATCAGGAAAGCAAAACCCCATGCCCATGTGTACATGCCCGACATGATAGAATGATCTAGTCTCAAATTCCCATGCTGCTCCTTAAGATTAAAAAGATGTCATCTGTTGGTATCAGCACACACGCGTGTGATTGAAAGAAATGATCTGGTACCATACATATTGTGTGCCTCTGTGTTCCAGAGGCGATGATGCCAGGTGTTGTGCAGACGGAAGTTAGAGATGGCTCGTGTCAGACTGGCCATCTGTCCTCATCTTTTCTGGGAGCTAAAATTTAAACTCAGTGGACAGGTCTAGGACTCCCTGCAAGAAACAACGATAAAGAAAGGGAGAGAGGAGTGAGATGCTTCAGAAGTTGGGCCCAGGGCACCACCTTGAAAATGACCTCCTTCAGCTCTGTACCAGACAGGTTGAGTCACTGTCTGGTCCTCAAGCAGATGACCCAAGATGATTTGGGGGAAGGATATGCATGGGATTTCCTCTCTTCAGCAGGAGCTGGACATCCTAACAAGAGTTCCTAAGCCGAGGAAAAAGTTAAGAAACCGTGAAGCGGCATTTGTGGGCGGCACAGTATAGCCTAGGAGTTATGAACCCAAGTACTTACATCAGACCAAGCCAAGATTCAAGTCCAGGAAGGTCTGCCATTCACTAGCTGACCAACCTTAAGCAAATTGACCTCTTGTACCACAACTTCCTCATCCATAAAATGGGTGTTTCAGAAATACTCCCACTCCCTAATAATGTCGAAGGGAGTAATGTGAGCCAGTATGTGAAGAGTATGGTGTCCGACACACAGGAAACCTTCCGTAGACAGCTGTTCATCAGATCGTCACTGTGAGCCCCACCAGAATTTGCACACAGCTGCTGCACCTCTTTGCAGGTGGCTGGCAGGCATGCCCCCACTGTGGCAGTGGCCCTGCCAGTCTCTCTGGCATCACATCGGCTTATGTGTTGCTAGAAATACGTTGTGTTCGGTCACATGTTTGCAGATGGCAGAGCATTAAGGAAGCACCCGAGGTACTAGGGCGAATCAGTGTGGAGCGTGAATGGCTGAAATCCCCATCAGATGTTCCCATTGTTTCTGCTGGTGAAGAGAGATGCTCAGATGTTTGATTTGTGTGTTTGTTTTTATGCTACTCCTATTAAATCAGTTTGCAGCCTGAAGAATGTGTTCCAGACAAAGGGAGACGCATGTGCCAGTTAAGAGACCTAAAACAGCTGTTGGTTTCCGACATCTCCCAAAATGTGACAGTTTTTGTGCATGCTAATGCTTCTCCTTGTTCTTTACACTGAAGTTATTTTCCTTCCCACTGGAAGCTAGATTGTTGCTTCTGTGTCCCAGGCTGCAAGTCTGGGCAGTGTGTTTCACCTGCCAAGGGGTCCCCGCTGCATAGGGCTTCGGCTTCAGAAAAACTTGGTGGCAGTCCCACCTGCAGCTCCTCCTGGCTTTGTGACTTTGGGCCAGATCTGCCTCAGAAGGCTATCAGTACTGGGTTAGATGTACCATGGAAGACTTTTACTACAGTGCGTGGCAGCTGGCTTTAAGCACCTGAAACGATCACCTCTTACTGCTGCTGTTACCCCTGCCGCTACTCTCTCTCTAAGGTACCCAGGCTAATCACACCTACACCAACCGCACACCCCAGACAAACCCCTCATGCGTCCTGGAGCAGAGTTACTTCCCATCAGACCATGGCCTTGATGCTCCATTAAGCAATGGCTGTTCAGCCAGTATCCAAACAGCATGAGAAGCTGGGAGGCTGTAGGCGATGCCTACTACCAGTCCTGATGAGCAAGTGTGAGGAGAAAGAAGGTCTCCGCCAGGGTTAACAGGCTCAGCCCAGAATTCCTTATTCTTTTTCCAAAAGCACTGTCACTGTAGCCCACGCAGATGCTCTATATACACAGTTCTCCCTCTGTACCCATGGGAAGTTGCTTCAGGACCCTCCACAAATACTCCTACCATGATCCTCCACTGCTCAAGCTGCTTATAGAAAACGGTGTAGTGTTCACACAACTTCTGCACACCTTCCCATATACTTGAATCATCTCTAGATTAGGTATTCATAATACCTAATGCCAGTTGTTAAACTGTGTCGTTTAGAGATAATGATGAGGAAAGAGTCTGTACATGTTCAGGAGAGGCGCAGCGGTTTTCTTAATATTTCGGAACTTCAGTTGATTGAATCTGTGGCTGTGTTACCCGTGGATGTGAGGGGCTGACAGTAGTTGCAGCTCTGTTCTGTCTTTCCTCTACTTCAGTACCCTTTCACTGAGCACCTCCTTCCATAAAGTGAGCCCTGAGGTCTGAATCTCCTAAACTTTTCCCAGTGCCCCATTTTCACAAATACAGAGAGGCAGTGTAGCAAGTGGATAGAGAAAAAGAGACCTCAGTGCTGCCACTTGCTGGCCCTTCACTGGGAAGGTTATTTGATCCCTGTAGGCTTTCTTTTCCTCGTCTGAAAAATGGGAGCAATACAGCTGGCTTCCTAAGCATAAAGAATAAAAGAAAAATCAACTAGATGCCATAAATGATAGCTCGTCTTATTTAGTGAGTACAAATAAAATTGGGTGTTGTGATGGGCCGTGCTGGGATAGTCTCTATCGACAGACTACTAATACCTTGAGGCTAGCATCACATTCTGCTCGTTGACCCATCCCTGCACAGGTCCTTCGTCTGCGCTGGAATGCGGTAAATTGGTGAGGACCCAGCAGATCTCACATGCAGCCCTCATCTCTCTTGCATGGCTGTGGGCCTGCAAGAGGAAGTAGTAGCTCCTCCTGTGAAAGCCAAGGGGGTTGGTGTCATTACAGACAGGGCTTCTCCCCAGAGGCACCAGGCAGCCACGATCCCTCACCAAAGTGGCAGGTGAAGCACGGGATCCCTGGAGAGCACGTGGCACCTGACCGGCCGCCCCAGAGATCCACGGAGCTGGTGTCTTGGCCAAGAAATTCCTGCCAGACTCTGAGCTCTCCTGGAAAATGCAAATGTAGCCCACAGTCCCTGAAACCCTATGGCAAGCTTTGGTGGCTCACACTGAGCCAGTCAGCCAGCAAGACCCCTGTCCAGCCAGCCTGTGGCTGCGATCCCAGCAAAGAACCCTCCCTGTCCCCCGTCAGCAGGGCACAGAGACATTGTTAATAGACCATGGCAGTCTCATTTGTAGACTCTATTCATCCAGCAACCAGGAATGATCTGTCCTGATACTCTCTCCTTCCTCTCAGCACCCCCCTTCCTCCCCCCACGTTTCCCCCTTCCTTTCGCCTGGAGAGTGATTTGTCTGTGTTATGGGTAGGCCTGACAAACCATTCCACATTAGCAGCTGAGATGTTGTTTGAAATGGGAAAATTGCTGGCAAACTGCTCCATTAGCAGTTCCAGTAACAAATACTCTGCTCCCCCAATGAAGATGAGATCGCAGAGGCACAAATTAATACAGCTGTCTCCCCTACTCTGCAGCGGGGATTACTCTTCAAGATGAATGGGTTCAGCCCGGGCCGAAATGTGCATCCTCTAGTTGGAGCCTCCAAGGAAGCCCACTCCTCCCCTCTCTCTCTCTTCTGCTTCCCCCACTTCCCCCCTCCACTCACGCTTCTTTTAAAAAGTCTTCCCAGCTGAGAGTTTGGGGGGTATCGGTGCCAAATGAGGAGGTGATGAAAAGATGCGCACCTCGGGAAGAAGACAGATGGATGGGGATGGAGGCCAAGCCCTCAGCCTGGACTCGGGGGTCATTCATCATCTGTAATAGAGCACCCTGCCTCCTGCTCAGGCCTGTTTCCCACTACACCTGTTCCAGTGACGGGAAGTCATCTGAGAGATGAAAGCATAACAAATGGAAAGGCTGACTTACTCCCCCATGGCCTCCTCTCTTCCCGGGAAGTCCTGGGCCCTGGGCCTGCGGCCTCTCTTTCTCTTTCCAGAGCAATAAGGGCATAAGCATTTCAGGATATCTGTATGAAGTTGAAGCCACAGATTCCAGCAGCAGCCCAGGAAAGTGGTCTTGCCTGGGCCCCTAGGACCTCAGGATGCCAGAGAACCAGTGTGAAGAATGACAGGCTGGCAACCTAAAGACTTTCTGCTTACTCGTCCGCTATATTAAAACAGCCAATTGAAAATCCCAGAAATGAAGTCAGCTGTTGAAATTTCTACCCATTAGCTGTGTGGTTGAATTTCACAATTTCATGACAGATAAACATTGCTGGCCATGGTCCATCTCTTTTTATTTTTCCTTTTTCCCTTTGACTTTTCAGCACTCTGCTTGGTTACTTCTTACAGCTTTCTCTGAAGAAGACAGTTGCCTCCAGATGAAGCTTGTACAGTGGACCCTTGAGTTATGAACTCAATTCATTCCTGAGGGCTGGTTGTAACTCAGGTTGATCAATTGGGGGCTCAGGCTCCTCTACACAGCTTTCAAAGTCTCCTGTCAGCAGATCTCAGTGTACTCAGGCATTGGCCAGGATTTTTCAACCCCACATGGGAAAGGTTGTTGTAATGTTTGTTTCAGAACTCTTTAAGGGTTAAATCTGTATCTGAGACCATCTGGAAGCACAAGAGGCTGGATCTGGGTCCTAACTCATGACTTTCATTGTGAGTTAAAACTAAAATACTGGTCATCACCCAAGTTGTTTATATATCAGGCCAATCATAACTTGCAGGTCCACTGTAATAAGCAAGAATTGAAAACCTTCAAAGTGAAAACATTCTTTTTCAATTTCTCCAAAGAGTCTTAGATCCTTGGATAGTGCTCTATAATGCAGAAACTGACCTCTGGCTGTCACACCATTTTCTGTCTCCTTCCATCAGAATGTGTGCCTTTTGATCCAAGACACCATCCTGTCCTCAAGGCCAGAGAACACAGGAGCCCTCGGGAACCACTTGCTGACAAGTAAATGGCTAACTGATTCTTCTCTGTCCTGTTTTCCTCAGACGCCTAGAACAGAACTCCATCAAATCCATCCCTGCAGGAGCCTTCACCCAATACAAGAAACTGAAGCGAATGTGAGTTCCCCTGGGAACAACTGGGCCCAGATGTTTCTGGTGGTGGTGGTGTGTGTGTGTGTTTGTGTTGGGAGGGTTGGTATCTGCAATGTGTAATAGGCAGCCTGTTTGGTTGATGGTCCACATACATTTTTGGGTCCAGGATACAGTCCCAAGATTGGCAGGTCCGGTTCAGAAGTGTATGCAGCTTATGAGGCACCTGAGCTTAGGTTTGTAGAGCTAAGCTCCTCCCATCCAGAGCAAAGTAAAACTTATCTATGTGAGAGGAAGGGATAACACCCAAAAACCCATTGCCATTTTTAATGTCTATGGCTATGGAGACACAGAACTAAAGGGGGAGTTTAAAAGACACCTAGGAGTGACCCCACTGCTGTTTATATGACCATCACCAACATCCTTACAAGTGTGTTCATTCATGTAGTACTCAGTGACTGTCTTCTATGCCAGGATCTGTGCAGAGCACTGAGAAGAACTAAGCACTGCACTCATGGAGCCTCCATTCAAGTGGGAGAACGTAGGAAAGAAATATCTGAAATCAAAAGTACTACAAAGTAAAACAAAAAACAGAAAAAGGGTGCCAGTGGGCCGGGCTTTCGGGTGGGTTTCCCCTGAAGGCTTCTGTGTGGCCTATTCGAATGAAGAAGAAGATGAACATGAGTCTCTAGGGCACTGGCCCAGGCCATGGGAAGAGCAAGTGGAAGGCTTGGGATGCATGCTGGTTTGTGGACCAGCAAGGAGGAGTGGAGTAAAGGAGGGGAGTGGGTGGGGACGGTGTTGGAGGGGTCTGCGGGGCAGAGATCGCATAGTTCTTAGGCCTCTCTGCTCTTTCTAAGAGAAATGAGAAGCCTTGGAGGATTTAGGTAACAAAGAGTCACATGACTTGATGCCCCTGCACCGAGCATCACTGAGATCATCAATTGAGCCCTGGTGACACGAGCCTGCTGTAACCCCCTCCCACAGCACCCTGGGACAGCATCATTGCCTCATCACCCTCAGCCCGTCCAGGTGACGGTGCGTCATCTGTCCCTGTCACTCACCAGCCTTGAGCATGCTCTGCGGGTCACTCAGCCCGGGACACTCCTGAAGGGAAGCACTCAGGATTCAGAAGTGGCTCAGGCGTGGCCATAACAGCTATTAAGATTCTGGAGGGAAAGCCCTTCCCCTTTTTTAGGTTGAGAAGCCATTTCTCTAGTCCAGTAATGGAGATGCTATTTTCAGGTCCATTTTCTTACTCTCTTGCCCTCCCACGGAGGAAAGAGAGAGGTCAGGTGTATCCACGAACTTGACTGTGCTCCTTCCTTCCACCTCAGGCTGATTCACTGGTTTCCCTTGAGAAGGAGGGCCTACATTAACAAGGTCTGCTGATTCCTTTTATGTTAAAAATAAACATCCCTGTGAAACAGTGGCATTAGTAGGCTTTACCCTCAGATTTCAGGAAGGCAACTTAACATCTCTCTGGAAATCCAAAGCAAACAAAACTTTCTCCTGGTGCAGTTCCAGAAGTAGAAACCAACATAATGAGGCAGCTCTAAGTGCAGACTTCTTCCCTCCCCTTGGCAGTATTCCTGCTAGAGGGACTGTATAAATACAGGCCTTAATATTTAACACCTTGGTCATTAATCTCCTGGTGTCCCTGTTTCCCCAGCTCAAGCTCTGTGCATCCCCCTCCCCATTCATTTTTAAAGCCCAGCTTGATTATGCAGCCAGATAGTAATTTCAATGAAAAATGACAAGTTCAGTCACTGCCCCAACCTATATCTCTTGCATGATTTAGGTTACTGCTCTAATTTTTGTGAGGTCCCGGTAATTTAGAGTTTGGCCGTGTTTTACCATTCTTTTTCCATCCTATAGGAATTACCATAATCGGTGCATTCAAAATTCATAAGCGCTTCTTTGTCATGACCAGGAAAGAGAATTTAATTTTTGATTACTTTCTGATGCTGCCAATATTTATTATGATGCCCCTCCCCCCCACCAAGGGGATAGCTGTAGGAAAGAGCCCACTTAAAGTTTTTTAACTAAAAGAACTTCAGAAACCCAGACTGAAGTTTAATGGCTTAGGAGAAGGAGAGTCCTGAGCAAAGCTGGATTTCAAATCCCTAAGTGTGAATTTCTCTTAGGTGTCCATGATCGGTTTATTTCCAATATTTGACAAAAAAAGAAACAAACCTCCCTCAGTTACGATTGAACTATATCTTGCTCTTACCTCTCTTTTAAAAATGAGTTATCCATGAATGATTGGCTGTGATCTTACCTATTTCTAGTGGTTTCCTTAGTATTAAAAACATTCCGGCAGCTAGGCTTGATCCCAGCTATCAGGAGGCTGAGGCATCAGGATCCCAAGTCCAAAGCCAGCCTGGGCAACCTAGCGAGACCTTGTCTTAAAAAATTTTTAAAGGCGCAGCAGTAGAGCTTTTGGCTAACATATGCAAGTCCTTGGATTGAATGCCAGTACCACAACATACAACATACATATACATATACCCATGTACATACTTGATCACTCCCAGATTTAAAAAAAAAAAAAAAAACAACTATTATCAAGGTAGAAAAGCCACTTGAAGCGAGAATAGAAAATGAAGATCCTTCACCTGCCTGGTTTCATAGAGTTGGTTTACTGGTAGCCCTGACACCTCAAGCCCAAACCGAGGTTGTTTAGCCAGATGGTGTGTTGAGAGTTCTTTTCATGTCTCTTAGGTTGAACAGTCTTCCAAGGCTCCAGGACGTCCTAGTATCTCACACTTATATTCCAGTTTAGCTCTTGTATGCAGTTGAACTTTCCCCCTTGGTCTCTAAAAGCCACCACCTCTCCATCATCCAGTTTATGACCTCAGGGGAACTGAGGTAGGTCTGAGACCAATCAGATTCTAAACCACCATCGTGGCCTAAAGTAAGATCCGTGGGCTCCCCACATGGGAGTGTCCTGGAGATTTGTCAAATATGCAGATTTCCAGCCCTTAAGCCCCAGCCTACCAAATCAGACTTTCTGGGGGTGCCTTGTAGAACACTGTAGGGAGGCTTGAGAGCCACTGGTCAAGGGTGACTGCAGTGTACAGTCAGTTCTCGAACTGCCTCTTTGTGGGCAGGGCAGGGGTTACTGTACCAGTCAGTGGTCAGCTAAAGCCTTCCCCAATCTGCCTTCCTGTACCAGGCCACTGTGTTCTGAGCCCGTTATAGCAAAACAGCAGGAACAGCCTTGAGCTGGGGGTCAGGATGCTTAAACTGCCCACTCTGGACCCCAATGACTACGTTCATGCATTTGTAGCTCCAGGTCCTTGGCTTCTCAGGGGTGCTTTTTCCTTCCTGCAGAATTAAGAGTGAAGATAAAGCATGGCACATGATCTCCCTGGTACAGGAGATCTTTAAACAGGGGAAAAAAACAGATCTTTAAAAGTCCACCTCGCAGAAGCAGAGAATTGGATGGTAGGTCCCAGAGTTTCTGGGGGAAGCAGAGGCCACAGCAAACCAGGGTGATGTTGGCCAAAGGATACAACACTTTGGTTAGGCAGGAGAAAGAATTTGAGATCTGCTCTAGGACATGGTGACTTGTTAACAAGGAGGGATTGTATACGTGAAATTGCTGAGTCTGATTTGACTGTTTTCCCAACAAGTAAATGATGAACGTGTACAGTGATGTTTAAGTAAAATAGCTTGATTTGGCCATTCCACAATGAATGCATACTACAGATACATAAAATTTATAAAAGTGGGTGGGAAAAGGTAACCAGTAGGGTCAGTTCCCAACTGAACTATCACTTCTACAATTCCCAGTCTCCATCATCTCCAAAAGCCTCAGATTGCTCACCTCCTACTGCAGTGAAGGAAGGCTGAGGCCCAGAATCTAACTGTGGACCAAAAGCCCCTCACAGACCCAGAGCAGAAGGCTTCCACGCTGGCCGTAGGACTTCCCCTTGTCTGCTAGAGGTCTGAGCACCTTGAAGGGACAGTCAATGACCAGGGAAAAAAACAGTCAAAACAGGCCCTCTCCTTTGTCTGATCTGAGCAAACTCTACTTGCTTCAAGTGCTTTGCTAGGCAGCCACACAGAGAGTGAGCAAGATCAGGATAATCTCGGGTATTTGCTTGTTAAGACCCTTACACAAAAACAGAGCGCTGAAGGAAAGCCCAGTGTAAGCTGATGAGTTTGCGAGCACAATCTGTGGATTTGTTAGAGGCCATCTCACCAGCTAAGGGGATAAACTAGACAGCTGTGCAGAAAAGGCCCTAACCTGTGAAATATCTTTCAATGCACAGGCTTTGGGAATGGTGAGGGAAGGGAGCAGAGGTCCAGGCCCAGGTGGGAGTGAGGCCCTCTCCTAGGCAGTTAGATGAAGGAGAGAACGGTCTCAAGAACACTGTCTTCTGAGTGTGCTTCTGGGGCTGGGTGTCTGGCCTGGCCAGAGGCACCTGCTTACAGCTTGCTCAGCTTTGCTCTTTTCTCAATATCTATTTGTCTCCTTCTTGTTGCCCTGCAAGGACCCTGCTCTCCCTTTCGTGCACAAAAGCAAAGAGATATTGATTTATTTTGTAAAAGAAAAAGAACTGAAGAGGTTTGTTGTCACAGGAAATTGGAGTATCTCTTTGGAGTGATGAAGCCCAAAGGCCAGCCCAGAACTAACAACTCTGAGGGAGAGAATCTCCCTCACTGAAAAGCCATTAGCAAGAACCAGTGGCCAGTTCTCAGTAAAATGGGGAGTCCAGGCCCTCTGCAAAGGAGCTGGGTCGGGAGGTCGCTCTGCACCTGTAAGGCCAGGTACCTCGTAGCCTGTGATCCTTCTGTCACACAACACTTTCTCAGACACATTATCCAAAATGCCAGACATTGTCACCTCCCCAGGCTTGCTCCAAAAGAGGAACGTGGGCAGCCAGAGACAAATCCATATCTCAAAGGTGACTCTTGAGAACCCTGTGATGTGCTTACATCAAACATCCCACAGGATGCATCGAGCCAGACAGAGGCTTAAGTTCCTGCCTCAGAATTCCTTTTAGGTCAGAATTCCTTTTAGGAAATTAACTGGGGAATCGGGAGCTCAGACCTCTCTGGGAGATGATAAACACTGGCTGAGGCATAAGGCAAAAGGGCACTACTTAAAGGAACTCAGGCCTGTAGTTAGCTGAGTCTGGTTCCTGTTTGACCTGTGTCATTAACTGATTGATAACAAGGCCTAAGACAAAGCCCCTAGATACGGGTTTGCACCTCAAAGTGAGCCCCACATGTGCCAGAGTCAAGGTACAGAGGATGAGAATCCTTTGAACCCCAAGCACAACGTACAAAGTTAGTGTCTTCCCTCACCAGGCAGTGGAAAGGAATGGTTTAAGTGCTTTCTCTTGTGCTATACATAAAAGAAGGGCATGATTGATCAATTAATCTTTACCATTTTGAATGGCTGAACTGCTCAGTTTGCACTTAGGGTTGGCTGTTATCGCCTCCAAACTACCTTCTCAGACTGCCCTGTTAATGTTTTCAGAGACATCAGCAAGAATCAGATATCGGACATAGCTCCGGATGCCTTCCAGGGCCTGAAGGCCCTCACATCGCTGTAAGTGGGGCCTGCAGGGGGGAGCGGGGAGGTGTCCATGCACCCCGGGAGGTGTTTATCGAGGTTTTATGTTCCCTAACACACTTGTGGCAACCTGGTAAAAGAAACAAATATTTCTTCAGGGGCAATTGATCTTGGGGAATATTTCTACAACTCAAATGCATTATTGTTATTGATTAAGTGCCCAGCAGTTTTCCCAGTTATTGGTTTCTAATTCGAATGCGTCTTTGGCCTGTCCTGGCTCCCTCCTCTGTAAGCCACAGCAGTGCTGTCTCTAGGGAGGACAGAAGAGAGGATGGTAACGTGTGCCGATCACGGAGAGTCCCTTGTTTCCCAGCCCCGCCCCCTGCCGTGTATGTGTCCTTCTCAGAAGAAAAGCTTGTTGTTTTCTTCCGCTAATTTTTAGATGATTTTTTTCTCCTAACCAACCTCGTGGCCAGTGTTCTGAGAGGATGTAATACCCTGTCCTATTGCCCTTCCATTGTTGGATTTGGAAACCCTTAGGCAGCCCCACTGGCCCCATCCGGGGCAGGAAGTATGCAGTTGTGTCCCGATTTCCTGGGTGGTTCACTGTGTGGCATAAGGAAGTCACTTGAGCATTCTGTGCCTGTGTAGAAAAATGGGGATGACGGTGTCTTCCCTACCCAACACATTCAGTGCACATGCTTACAGTAATAGCAGTAGTCAGTCTCACTGAGTGCTGACTGTACCACATACTGTTCTAGGAGTCTTCTTTGTTTACTGTTTTTTCCAGCACTGAGGATTAAACCCAAGGCCTTTGCACTGAGCTACATCTCTGGCCCTTTTTAAATGTTTTTATTTTGAGACAGGGCCTCATTCAATTGCAAAGATGCCCAGGCTAGGTTTGAATTTATGATCCTCCTACCTAAGGCTCTCAGAGTGTGGGGATTACAGGCATGTGGCACCACACCCGGCTATATCCTAGGAGCCTTAATGTGTAATCTTCACAAGAACCCAAACTGTAAAATCTACTAACTCTCTCTGACAGATAAAGAAATTGAGTAGCCACAGCTCCTTGCCTAATTTGTGTCTGGCTATACCCTGGTACCTAGAACTATACCAAGCATATGATTATTTTAAAAATCATGTTACAACAAAGAAATGTAACCAGCAATAAGTAGGAGAGGCAGGATGTGGACCCAAGCTGTTTGGCTCCAGAATCCTCACTCTTGGTCTCCATGCTTTGCAAACTCTTGAGACAATGTAGGAAGTCAAATGTAAGATAGGTAAAGTCTTCATTGATTGGTACCATTTACATCATCTGGTGGCCTTTTCCCCTTGCAGTGAGGAAGATGCTCAGAGGCAGCCTGTCCGTATTTTGCTTCTCTATGCAACCTGTTTGCCTAATGTGTGAAAGAGCGAGGAACAAGAGGTACCTCTCTCGCTCCACCGCCCGCCCCGGCCCATTGGGCAGGGCTGAGGACAGGGAAGCCTCTGATTCAGCAGTTGTCTGATGCCTGCAGAGTAAATTAGTTTCATTTGTTGAAAAGAACATCTGGCCGGGATATCAAAGACAGGACTGTGTGTGAGATTAGTGCCTGCTTATTGTTGCGAAGATCACAGAGGGGAAGGGAGAGCGGCTGTCTGCCACTGCGTCCTAGCTCTGCCCTTCCACACCTTCCAGGTCCCATTCTCTTGGTCGGGACCATTTAGGGACAGTCTAAGGACAGTGAAATGCTTCCTGTCTTGCAGTAAAAGAAATTCAACATGTAGTTGCTGAATGTGACTGGCCAGTTCTCAAATACTATCGGGTGTTGTTTAGGGGAACTGCCTCTCACCACGATGATTCATCCATCCCTTCCGTAGACGCCTACTGTGTACTGAGCAGTGTTACAAGCACTGAGAATGTGGCAGTAATCTAGAAAGACAAGACCCCCGTAGACCCGAGAGTTGAACGTAAACTCATCCAAGCCCAGCTCAGAAGCGGCCAACTTAAAAGGCTGGAGAGCCGTGTATCTGCTCATTCGTTCAGTAGATATTTATTGTGCCAAACCTGTTCTGTCCTTGGCTTGAGGGACCCAGCATGAACATATCCCATGCTGTCACCATCCTCGGGGAGCCTAACTTCACGGGAGGTGCTTGGGTGACAGAAAAGTTAAATAAATATGAAAGTAATATCAATGACCTAAAAGTAAATGGTTTGAAGAAATAATAATAGAGTAACAGGTAGTAAAAACAATTAACTGAAATATTTAGAAGCCTTCTGAAGGAGAGATGTTGGGCTGAGACCTGCAGGGCAGGCAGACGGGTGTCCCTAAGGTGGACACACAAGCACCTGAAGGACCCAGCTTGCTTGGGATGGCCTGTGTGAAGGTGTGAGTCATGGGGAAAGACCTGCCCGAGCCTCCCAGCCCCTCTGCTGCACAGCTTCTGCTGCACCCGGAGTTCTGACATCCACTGAGACGAGCAGACAGTGGCATTACTGCATTTTGCACAGTGAGCAGTGGGACATTAATATGAATTACAAACGTGTGCCCGAGCCATCATGCTGACTTCTGTGTAGTCATTAATTTGTTGAAACATTAATGAAACACACCCGCAGGCTGGTGGAGATGCTCACTCTTCACTCCCAGTGGCATCTGGAAATGGGGGATTTGGTTTATCACTGCCATTTACCATTTCCTCATCCTAATATTTTGCCTCCTCAAATGAGTATCACAGCCAGGATTTGTGATCCAAGTGGGAATTTAAAAGTGCGTCCATTCCATGCACTTCAGGGCCCCTAGAAGGGATTTTAACAGAAACCAACCAACCAAACCTTCCTTAGCCCAGTTCCTTGATCAGAGAGAAGGCTGGACCCAAGATACTGCAAAATCCACTATGGAGGGAAGCAGAAAGGCCAGAAGGGTCTCTTTGTTACTCTGCTTAGGATCAACCAGGTCCAGGCTCAGAGAGCACTGGACCTTAGGCTGGAGGGGCAAAGCCAGTAGATTTCCTTCCCAGGCCTTAACACCATGAAAGAAAAGGCCTGTAAATAGCAGGCACCAATATACAAAGAGAGGCGGGCAGAGGGGTTCTGAGTTCTTGGCTTCCTGGATTTCAAGGCATAGGAAAGAGGGATAGAAATAGAAGCTTCTTAGCTTTTCCTGCAAGCCATTCTTTGGCTCAGCAATCTCCAAGCTATCTGGAAAAGTCCCCAGGTACCTAGAGCCCTGTCCTAATGGATAATTAAAGGACTCAGCTTGGGAATTCCTAGGGTGCAACGGTATATTAAAAGGAAACATTCTATAGGCTGGGCTCAGCTTGATCAATACCTATTGAAGGCACAGAGCTGGCTGGCCTCCCACGCTGCTTATTTATTGCTGGGGTGTGAGTCATATTTGCAGCTCAGGGAGTCACCACTAAGGGGTTGCTGCTTCCGTTGTGGATGATGTATTGGGCTGGGCTGCCCAGGAGTGAAGCAGGATGGAGATCTCTCTTGCCTCTGGGACAGCCTGCCCCTCCGGCCCTGGGCTGCCCTTACCTGACTCTGTCTCACTGATGAGGAGAAAGGATGAGGCAGGCCAGGGAAGGAGGCGGCCTGAGATCCTGCACCCAGTCTGACAGAGGTGATGACCTATCCCATGAGTGAGTTCTGGTAGCCTTGCATCATGGTGACCACCATCATCTGCTCTCTTCCAGGGTCCTGTATGGGAACAAGATCACCGAGATTGCCAAGGGACTGTTTGATGGGCTGGTGTCCCTGCAGCTGCTGTGAGTAGCCACCTTGCCGCTGTTTGCATCTCTGGGACTGTTGGAAGGCTCTTGCCTGAAAATGTGAATCCAAGCTCTAGAGAGTTCTTCTTTGACTTTATGCACACTGTAAGGAAACAAAACTTCTGAGCTGTCCATCTCTCACCTCCTTTGCCCCTTTTCCTGTGGGTGGAGAGCCAGAGAATTGAGAGAGGAAGGCAAAGGTCAATGTGCACGTGTCTGCGTGACACAGTGCAGAGCCCCAGGCATAAATCACTAACCATTGGTTAAGTAAGAGTTGAATCCTGCAAGAGGAAGTATCTTGCAGACATGTGCTAAGATGTAGGGAAAAGCTGTCACAGGCCACATTCTAACATGAACGCTGAAACAGAGCTGCTGGTAGATATCTGACCTTGAAGAAGGATCAAGGTGGGGTGAAACGATTAGAGAAGAGTGTAATCAGTCACAGGTGGGATTCTGTCTGGGTACGATACGGCTGAGAGGGGAAGTGTTTGTTTAAAGGAAGATCTGTTGCTCTGAATTTCAAGCTCTGAGATTATTTATTTGCATTTATTTCATTGTGTACATTTAAGTTTCAGTGTTTAAAGACGGTACTTGAACTCTGATGTGGAGATGGGAAGAAAAGAATTTAGCTTATATTTTCAGATTTTATGATGAAGGGAGACGGGTGTTGCTAAGGTGTCCCTCTGGTGCATGACTAGGTGATGTAATGTGCTGTGGGTATGAGACTGTGTGTGTGTGTGTGTGTGTGTGTGTGTGCGCACACTCACACATGTGCGCACATGTGCTTGTCTACTCTGACCATCACATCACAATTCCCTATCGGCATTAGAAATTGACTTTGCGTATCCTTTGAACAATGGAGCAGACAGTGGTACCTCGATCATGAACTTAATTTTCTCTATGATTTACAATTAAGTTCGTGAATCAGGGTACCCCTGTGTCAGGTCTCAGAGAGGTAAATGACTTGCCTGCTATCACTTAGCAAAATAGATGTGGAAAGTAGATGGCACCTACATGGGCTGGGGATTTACGAGTTGTGTTTGCAGAGCTGTGTGTCAGAGTACAGACAGGCAGGATTCACAGGCTGTGAGGAAAAGGCCTCTACCTCCCATGTGCAAGTAAGAAGAACCCAGTGTAAGTTTGCGGGGCAGGGAGTCCCGTGGGACCTTCAAATGGGTGGGAGACACAAGAACAAGGATGGAGGGAGGGAAGTGGGCCACACACCCTATGCGCTTGACGCCCACTGCTCTTAAAAACTAAGACTTCTTGCAGCCCTTTTCGTCTCGCATCTTTATTCTCTACCCTTCTCGCGTCCTTTAAGACTCAGCCCTGGACACATTCTTCTAGGATGACACAGTAATGTGAATCACGCTGGGATGAGATGCTCAGCAAGGTTCTGGGCAGCAGATCCATCAGAGCAATAGCCAGGTTTACTTGGCAAAGCTCAGTAAAAGCCAGGGTGAGAAAGATCTCCCTTTCTCCTTTCTCCGCATCTCCCTGCCTCTTTCCCTGAGTCTGTTCATTCCATGTGTCTCTGTGTGAGCTCGAGCTTGCTCAGAGTTCCCAGCCTTCCACGGGCCTTTGAGGCTGTGTTTCAGGATGACAGGGCAGGGATCTACAGGGAGCTGGGCATTTCGCAGATGGTATTCTTTGCTCCTGGCAAAGAAACTGTAAGTTCTAACTGCTACTGCAAGGCTGGTTAACTATCGCCATTAATCCCCTGGAAGAAGAAAAACAAAGGCCGCCACGTGGAGGTAGATTTGGGGATATTGTGTCTGCCAGGCTGGTGTGGATGTCCTTTTGTCACCTGTGTGTTTGTGTGTGGAAGGAACATTTCCTTGCCCTCACTAAGCAGACACTGTGTGCATCGGAGTGCCTAGTGCAGAGAATGTCATTATCACAGAGTCTACGAAGATGTACTGACAGTAGGAGGTTACTGCAAGAAGCAGGGCTTCGTCTGGGCTGGGCAGACGGATCCAGCTGCCTTGCAGTGGCTCGAGCAGATAGAATTGACTGGTTGGGAGGTAGACAAAGTCTCTCCGCCTGTCCAAACCAGGAGTTGACACAACTCAGGTAGGCTTGCTTTCCAGAGAGAACTGGCACCTCAGGCTTGAGTAGCTATCATTGGATTTGACCTGCCGGTGAGCAGTTGGAATGCAGGTCCTGATTAAATCTAATTTAGTGTTCAGCTGGCTATAGATTGGATTTTCCCTGTTAGACTGGAGATGCTCTGATAAGAAATCTCTGATTAGAATACCCTGGTAGTCTGGGTAATTTCCTGTCCTTTGACTCAGAGGCTTTCCATAAGAGGTTTGATTTTCTTCTTCTTTTTCCATCTTTCATATAATTAATCCATCACAAAGCACAGGTGTCTCTGCACCGCATATGGTCCTGGATATTTCCTTTTGGCCCTTCCTGTGATGCCACAAGTAACAAAGTGGGTACGTTACAATTGGTTGTCCTGCTCTTCCCCTCCTCATATCCCTGGACTTCTTAGCCAAGCCTCTGAACATGCCCAGTCCAGTATGTACCCAGCCCACCTCCCTGGCAGACCTGGCGGGGGAGGGTCTTGGCACGTTCCTCTGGGCAGAAGGCCAACACTCATAACAAGGTATCCCAGAATTTCTCAAAGGCTACACAAATGGGTCTACAAAGACATGCTTCGGTGACCTCAGGAGACGCCCCTAAATGTAATTCCATGTGTTCAGGAGCCACATATGGGTTACCTGCTGTAGTTCCTGTTCCAGGACCTTACAGGTCAATGGAACCTCAGGGCTCCAAACATAATCCATGTGGCCGATGCAGGAACTGCCATGCTCCCACCCCCACCAAGTACCATCTCTGACAGTTTTCCTGTCACTCATCTGCACTTGGTGTCTGTGATAAATGCTTACTGTTTCTCACATGCTTATAGTTAGAAGTTAGAGAGCTCTTTCTTATACTACACCTACACCCTAGCTCCTGAGAAACTCAGAAAAGTCTGTTGTTATTGCCTTCACATGTTTGAAAATAGCTGGTGGATTTCCCTATAATCAATCCAGAACGGGTTCAATTCCTGCAGCCACTCACTATAGAAACACATATTCGTTTTTGTTGTTGTTACTAGCAACACCTACTGTCTTTGGGAATGCAGGAGAGTCTGTCAGCTTCGCCCCTTAAAACAGGCTGCTAGAAAATGAACGAGCCCCCATTTGGGCAATAGGATGTATGTTTGGAATGAACTATCCCTCGTGGAAGCATCTGCTGGGACCCCATTTCATTCCCTCCATCACCTTCTACCACCCTCCCCACCCAGGCTTCTGGGTTCCGGGGACATATGTGGAAGTGCTGGTCATCTCCATGGCAGCCAGGTGTGTGCCCTCCACCACCACACCCCACACCCTGTCTTCTAGCTCAGAGACCCGTGCTTGCCGAAGCAGGAAGAGCAGTCAGCTTGTCACTAGGGCTGTCATTTGCTCCTCCAGTGGATAGCTGCAAGCTGTGTTACACAGCTGCCCTTGGAAATTAAGCCTTCATTCAGCACTCATTGGTTGTAGGCACACACAGGAAAGCCACTCGCGTGGCGAGGACGGCCGTGTGATGTAGAAGCTCTTAAACCTGCCACAGGAGGTTTTAAACCAAACCAGACTGTCTCCAGGCTGGAATAAGTTAAGACAACCCGGACACCTGTTGTGCAGTTTTCTTGGAAGGCAGACAAAAGCCATTTGAGGCGCTTGGAGTTTGCCAAGCAACACGCCAATTACAGAGTAGGGAACAAAACTTCACTCCATCTAACTCACTTTCCCTCACCAGCTGTTTCGCATGAACTACTTACTACTGCTCCTAATCATGGCTGCTAACATTTATTGAATTCTTGGCAGGCTCCAGGACCTGTGCTAAACAATCTTCTATGTACCATCTCATTCTATCTTTTCAACAGTGTTAAGGGGAAGATACTGAAAGGCGCATTTTACAGCTAGGGAAACCAAAGGTGAAGGAACATGACCATGGTCATACAGCACATGAGAAACTGGGCCTGGATTAGAACCTAGGCTTCCTAACCCGGGAGTTCCCTTTCTCATACCACATCCTTCTTCAGACCCAGTCATGGGAAGATGTACAGAGCTAGTGTAACATGGTGAGCAAGAATTCTTCGCTGGCCTAAGCCAAGAAGAAAGTGCTCATTCAGTGACTATTAGTTCCTCCTGTCATGCCTCAGTATACATCGTGAGCATCTGCCTCCGTGGGACCGTCCCTACTGTGTTGTTATCCCCCGTAAATGTATGCTCTGAACCATGTAATAAGCGATCAGGGACCTCCTGTTTCCCAAGCAAAACTCAGTTGGGGTGGGATGGCGAGAGTCCTTTCTAGCAGCAGAAATGGCATAAGTTGCTGGTGCATTATCAGTGAAGGGATTCTTTCTGTCAGGAACCTGGCATTTCCTATGGAAATCCCTGAGGAGGCCTGAGATCTGGAATGCCCTATGCTTGATCAGTGAGTGAATGGTTTGCCCCCTCTGGAAGGACCCATTAATCATCAAGTAGGAAGCTATTAGGAAACTGACCATCGTTGGTCACAATAAGCCAAGTCACAATAGCAGGGTCCCCTAATCTCCTGATAACCAAGTAATAGTTCCTTTCTGATCTCTCAGAGTTGGAGCTGTCCTCTGATTCCCTCAAAAAAAAAAAGAAAAGAAAAACTGTGGCTTGTCTCTAATCCTTGTGCCCTCTTCGTGTCACTGGAATAGAGGAGGTCTTGTTTCTCCGGCAGGCCAAAGAGTTACATCACCACCATGTGCTGTTTCCTTGGCATCAGGAATCACCACAACAGTGCAGCCATAATCAAGAGAGAAGGGGAAATTGGCTGTGCTCCTGGGTGGGACTTAGAGGGCTCCTCCCATTTCCTCTTTGGTGGGTTAGCATGATGTGAACCAGAGCACCCATGTACAGCCCAGAGTAGATTCTGACCAGGATCAGGTTTTTGCCCTTATAGTAGCTCCTGATGTCGCTAGGATCCTC